CGTCTGCCTGTACTTTGCAGTTTCCTTCCTTGGGTATCTCCAACCAGGACCAGCTGCAGCTGTGAGCTGGTCTCTCCCCTCTTTCCCACGGGGATTAGGGCTTTTCCACTCAAACCTATACCATCCCCACGCCCTATATTCCTCCTGTCCCACACCCACACCCCAGTCTCTGCCTCATCTCCTCCCAGATTCTGATACCTTCTCCTTCCTGTCTGGTTGTGTCTGTCCTTTGCTTAAAATCGTCAGCAGCTTACAGGCCTTTTTTTTTTTTTTTTTTCTTTTTGATTCCGGGAATTGAACCCAGGGGTGCTTAACCGCTGAGCCACACCCCTAGCCCTTTTTGTAGTTTATTTAGAGACAGGGTCTCATTAAGTTGCTTAGGGCCTCGATAAGTTGCTGAGGCTGGCTTTGAACCCACAATCCTCCTGTCTCAGCTACCACAGATGCTGGGATTATACGTATGCTCCACTGCGCTTGGCTAACAGGCCTTTAAAAAAAACAAACTTTTTTTTGTTAGTGTTTTTTTCATCAGAAGGGTCTTGCCCTGTTGCCCAGGCTGGCCTCAAATTCCTGGGCACAAGAGATCTTCCTGCCTCAGCCTCCCAAGCAGCTGGGACTCCAGGCATGTGCCACCACGTCCAGCTCAGTGCAGGTTTCCTAATGCAGCCTCTTGAATCATCTCTCTTGTCTCCAAGACTTCATACCGACTGTGCTTCCGCCAGGAACACCTCTCCCCTCTTTGTAAAATAGAAATCCTTGACCTTCTGTAGCCCTGAGCTCAGAGGTCACCTCCTCCTGGCAGTCCTCCTGGGCTGTCGTCAGATGAGGTCCCCTGTTATTTATTTCCCTTTTCAGAGAGTAGCTTTCCCCATATTGGGGTATCTCATCAGACTGAGGGCAAGGGCTGTGGCCGACACCAATCTGGGTGGCTTCGATGTCCAGCCTGGGCTGAGCACACCCTAGGGGCCTGGGCTAATGTTTCTTCCCTCCCTTTTCTTCCTCTTAGGGCCCTCCTGCTGTTCCTGGTGGCTCTAGTGGCCTTGATGGAGGCCAGTTAGGCAGAATGTGGGACCCAGAGAAGTTAGCCAAAGAAATAGAGGCATCAGTCACCAGGTAGGTGTGTGCCTGGGCCTGGATGGGGGGTGGATGGGCGGAAAGCGTTGTGTGCAGGCGTGTTTCTGTGAAAGTCCACGTGGTTGAGAGGGGGACAGGGAGGCAGGATTGGCGATGGCCATGAGCTGCCCCTCTCTCCACCGCTGTGCTAGGACCCTGGACCTGCGGGAGCAGATGCAGTCTCTTAGAGAGCAGCTGGAACAGGTGGCGCAGAAGGGACGAGCTAGACGGACCCACAGCGCTGAGCTGAACAGTGATCTCTGCAAAGCTCACAGGTGGGCCCCTGCCTGGTCATCATCTACTTGGTGACCTCACAAGCGTCCCCAGCTCTCCCTGGGCCTCAGCTGCCCAGAAGGGCAGCAAGTTCAGTTCAGGCGCAGCGCGGGGCAGTTCCTGGCTCAGCCACCCACTCCCTCCAGTGCCCTGGTCCTGGCCTTCCGAGGAGCCCACCGGAAGCAGGAAGAGCAATGCCGGAAGCTGGAGCAGCAGATGGAGCGAATGGAAGCCCGCCAGGCGGAGGAGCTCGCCGTGCTAGAAGCCACCGCCAGAGCCCTGGGAGGACGCAGGCCTCCCTGCCCACCCCCTCAGCTGGGGGAGACCTTGCTGTAGGCCCTCAACCAGGCCTGTCATAAAGCATACTGGAGTGACATTGTCATGTGCGGTGACTTTGAGTTTGGGGCTCATTTAGCACGACTGGGACTGATGGGAGGTGACGGGGCATTTGAAAAAAACCCAGTGTCTTTGCCCTGGCACCATGTGGGGGAAGTTTGAGACTGAGGTCCAGCCAGAAGTGACCTAGGTTGAAGGGACAGAGACCCCTGCCTGGGGCAGTTTGGGCTCAGTGGGGTCTCGGGGGAAGCTGAAGTTCTGCCAGTTCTCTTTGTCCAGAGCCCAGGGTGGGTCCAGGGGAGCAGGACACCTTCCCTGCCGTGCCTGCCCAGGGAGGTGGGGTCTGGGTTGGCAAGTGTCTCCAAGAGACTGGGACCCCAGCAGGGAGACTGGGGCCAGAAGGGTCAGGTTCGGGTTGTGCAAGACGAGTGCCTGTTCACAGGGTGTGAGGGGCACAGGAGCCAGAGATGGCTTTGGAAATTGCATTGCAAGATCATGGGGTTTGGGGTGGGGGCAGTCACCCCAAAGGCAAAAGCCTGGGACTCCGGCTGCCTGGTGCTTTGGGGGTAGGAGGAACCCAGAGCAAGTGTCCGAGCAGCTGGGACCTTCTCCTGTGGGGGTTGGGAGCTGGGAGGAGTGGTTTTGCCAGGTTAATAGCAGGCGGCTGATTAGCATGTCATTTGCATAGACCACACCCCTCTGTCCCTCTGTAACTGAGGGGCTGGGTTGGGGAAGGGGCTGAAAACGACCCAATCACGCTAGGATTAGCGGCCAGCTGTCCCTCGTGGGCGGTAGCTGAAACCCAAGATGAGGATTAGAAAGGTTTCCTCCACAGCCTTGGCAGGCGGGCGGGGTGGGGGGGCACGGCGACAGCACCTGGCCGCACCTGTGCAGGTGTGTGACAGGCGGGTGCCTCTCCCAAGGGAAGGCCACGGGTCAGCGCGTCAGTGGATGGTCTTGTCGAGCCGAGAGGCAGAACAGGAAGAGAATGACAACAGAGTCTCTTCCCATGAGCGATGGGGCCGGTGACCTTCGGCCCTGCGCTGTCACTGGACCCAGGCCAGAAGGTTTCCCGGGAAGGCAGGGAAACTGAGGCGGGTCACCTTGCCCTGGGGAGAAGCCCAGGAACTGACTTCCCTCCGTCCCGTCCTTTCTAAGAGCCCGAGAGTGCTCTTAGTCCCTAGTCCCACCAGGTTGACGAGGGGAGGGGAACAAGGAAGCCAAGGTCACCTGTAGGAGGGGGCGGGGGCAGGT